CTTTTTTTGAAGTCGGTTAAAAATAATATTCTTGTAATTAGTTCCAACGTTACCCGCGAAAAGTCAAACTTGTTATCATTACGCGCACACGGCCTACTTACATGTTTTGAAAGAAAAGTTCCATTAAATTTCAAATTAGGAAAAAAATTTGAAACTGGATTTCCGTTTCTGCATTCCATCACAGTGCACTACCATGCTCGATGGGCACTACTACCGAACTAGTACGCTGCGTACAGGCAAGCTATTTCGGTCTTTATTGAAAATTCAATAAAGTGCGGAATTTAAACGCTCGTGTAGTTAGTTCATTGGGTAATTGAGCGAGTTTCGTAAACGATAACAAAGATTTGTCTTTGTTGTTTGTGGGATGAATCTCTTGCGTTGCGCATTTTCCGGTAACCGATTTTAATAAAACTGGGCAAATAAGTAATAAGTTTTAATAAAAAACTTATTTCGGATCCAAATCGTATAGACAAATTTGTTTTTTAAAACAAACGTTTCAGTTTTTTAATTGCACATCATTATTGAAGATTTCGGCGGCCTCGTGGTTTGCACTGTGGTTGTAGGATACGGAGGTCCCGGGTTGATGTTCTTGTACTTATCTTTTTATGTTATTAACTTCAAACTTTTCAAAATGGAAAAAATATTTTTGCAACTTTTTCTCGAAATAAAACCTTTGACTAAACCGATTGAAACAACCAAAGAAACTGCATCGCGTGTTCTATGTTTTTTTTTAATTTTAATTTTAATAGTGCCAGATTACATTTTTTGTTTCATGGACTGCACTGAGCGAGTTCAAATACTTTCAACAAATTATTGAGGTTTATAAAAAAATAGAGTACATAAGGCAAGACTGTTGTACATGTTACACGTGTGTAGTAATATATCGAAAAATAAACTGGAAACATTGCTTTTAAACAACTTGTTTATGTGTGGAGTCAACTTGGGCTATTTTCGGACTCTAACATTAACATTGGAACGAAAGCAACCAATTTATACGGTTGCTGTATCAATTTACGATTTTAAAAAGGAGTAGATATTACTTAGTTATGTTATTCAAATTTAAAATGCTCGAAGAATTTTTACAGATATATCTGGAATATAAAAAAGGGTGTCCAGTAGTAATAAAAAAAACTATCAACGAAAAAAGTGTTTTCGTTTCCGTCCAATTCGAAAATTGAATAACAACAAATGGAATAGCTAAATAGCTAACAAATGGAACTCGAACATAAATACAGGTTGTTTAAAAATACTGTATAGTAATTGTCTTAACTTTTTTTTACTCTGAATAAAGGAATGAGCAAAGCCTGTAAAGGAGACTATAACCTCTCAAGCAGTGTATATTTAGTACGTAATTTAATACCTACACAGTTTAAAATCCACATCGTTAGTGGAAAGGTAAAATTTCAAGAGCCTTTATATTCAATATCTAAGAGGAGCGATTTATAAAAAAATAAAGCAAAAGAGGACCTCGAGAAATTGAATTACCCGAAAAGTGCTGAAGTCGCCAAGAAACCTGGCCAGATAGATGCAGCAAAAATTATATAGGTACCAATAGCAATGCCAATGTTATAGATATGACTAGTTTTCCCTATAAGAGGAGCTTTAGACCTTTTACACTCACATATGTATATACATATGGATATCGCAATCTACCCAGTTGGTTAACCTGATAAAAATATTGATATATATTTTTTTACTTACTTTTACCGCGCTGTATTCCAAATTGATTGAATTGTTTGGTTCTTTGTTACATACACTTTACGCGTAAATTTTATGTCTTTGGGTGAAAATTTTAAGAACTTTACATTGTAATTACGTAAAATAGGATTTCTACAGTGAAAAAGGCGTTTTTCCGGAACAGGACGAAAACAGTGCGGCTAGGAGTTGCTGAAAATATCGACTGAAACGGAAGGCGGCTGAAATTTCGTGTTGCCATACTTACGAGGGTTAATTTACCTTTAGTAATGGGAATTAATTTGACTCACGACTGTATCAAGAACTAAAATTAAATTAAACAAACTTTCAAAATGTTAGTCTTGTGGCATTCAAAAGGTAAATAAACACTCATAGACTTTCACGATGTGTACGCGGCCACTCACGGATTTGCGGAAAATATCGATTTTTGTTTTAGGAAGCAGAAATACGATCGGTATGATAAGATTTATCAACAATAAAAAAGATTTTGTAAATTAAATCAAGTAAATCTTTTATTTACAAAACTCGTTACCAAAACAGAATCTTAACTAAGGCTTAAAATTTAAACATTCAAACTTACAAACATTTATTATTAGCTTACATTCATCTTTAAAATTTATACTCTTGTAAGGTTTATACAATTTAAAAATCATATCTGGCATAATAATACAATTTTGCACATATTTATTATTGATGAAAATTAAAAAAATATCTTCACTAAGATCCACAGCCTGTATCAAATAGCAACCATATTTGAAATCAACTTTTTGAATCCGGAACACAATATGTTCTCCTTTTGGGATTACGAAATTAGAATTTTCCGCCATAAACTTCTCGTGTTGCCATAGAGAAAAATTTGCCATTCGTTTTTTAAGGAGTGCATTAAGGTGGTAAGCTAGACCATCTTTCTTGTAGCGAATCTTTTTTGAATTTTCATCAATTTCGCCATTATGAGAGCTTTCAAGTGATGGACTTCTATTCTTTTCATCAACAGAAGATGAACTATTAATGACGGAATTTATTTGCGTAGTAATATTCAAAATTTCTATCTCGTCACTTGTTTTTGTACTCTGTTTTGGAGTCAGACTCTCACTAATGGAACATTGTGAAGTTGTTTCTGAGCTGAAATGGCTGTCAAAATATGATTTAACTCTTTTTACTAGTTCATGATTATTTGTTTTTAACATTACAAGACTATCATCTAAATTACATTCATCCGATTTTGAACTCTCATATGTGGGTGTCTCCATAATTACTACTGATGTATTTTCTTTATCAATGTTTTGGTTATTTTCTACTAATCTTGATATAGTATCTTGATGGTAATTGCTATGATTTATATGTATCGAGTTTGGATGTGTAGTAGAGATTTTAAAGCTGTTAGTGGCTAGGTTTTCACTTTTCCACCTTTGCAGCTCTTGTACACTGTCTTTCTTTGTCAATAATATAGGGGAACAGCTTTTATTCTTCGATTCTATTGATTCTTTATGAGTTTTTATGTTTGATGCAGAATTTTCTCCATTTTGGAATAATATTTTTCTTATTTTTGAAGAATTTTTAGGCGATGCGTACTTAGGCATTAATATTGGGCTCTGATCAGGTAAACATCTTCGCTTTTGTAGGTCACAGGCTTTGGAAAACAATATTGGTGAACTGCCTTCGTGTTTACTATGTTTATAAGGCGGGAAAGCACTTTCAAAAGTTGGCGATGGTTTCTCAATTCTCGAGTGACATTGCTGTAATGATTTTGAAAATTTTACTATAGTATTATTCTCGCTAACACTTTTAGGCACGTCGACTATAGTAACATCTAAGTTAGCAATGTTTTTCGGCACTCTTTTCTTAGGTTTCCTTTTTCTTTTTCGCGTTTTGTTAGTTAAGTTAGCTAATCGCTCACAATTCGATGCGTCGTCCGATTCACTCGATTCACTGCAAGTCCACAGAATTTTTTCTGTATTTTCTTGTGAATTTAACAGCTTGAACTTCTCCGAAAATAAATTTTCATTTTGTTTTTGCATTATATCGCAACATAACCTTACAATACAAGTTATCAAATAAGAAATGTCAAAATAAATCATAGACAATTTCGCACTTTATAAATTGAAAATAAAAGTTGTCTATGGTTTTATGGCTATGTATCCGAATTTTTTATAAACTTTGTTATATTGTCAACACTGAGGACAAAAAATTTTGTTACTATGAGAACTCATTTAAAAATTCAATTTTATTTTATACATACAAATTATAATAATAATAAATGCAGGTAGTTGTTGGCATCTGTTTGGTTAGAATGAAATTTTTATTTTTTCCAAATTTTAAAATAAACTAAAATACGCTTATAATTTGCTTCCTTGCGTTACTTATGTAGGCAGCAGTTGTGGAGTCTATATTTATTTACTTCTTATGTAAGCACCACACGTCGAATAAATATACAGTGGACATAAATAGCTAATGCATACAAAAAATAATCATCACCTCACATACAACAGTCATATTTTTGCACTTTTATTGCGTACGTGACTTGATGCATGTTTACCACGAGAAAATTTCAATCGATAAATATTCACCACTTACTCACAACCTTGGTTCCACAACGCTATTGATAAGCTCGCACAATTGGCACACATGCTTGTTATTTTGGCAACTTCATACCGCTGCGCTCTCAAAACAAATACGTGCGCTCCGCTCCGTATCCCTTTGTTTATCAACTGCATTTACTAAAATTACTGCAGCTTTTCTATCGAGAGTCGTTGTAGATTCTCATTAAGGTGCTGAAAACAGTTGTGTTGTAGTGTTTTTCGCGTGACCCGTCCCGCTTCGCCGGTTCTCGCCGCCGAGATGGAAGTGGAGCCAATCGCTTCCGAGTCGGAAAACGTGGCGGTGGATGAAACTGTGAAGCCGGTCGACGATCAAGGCGCCGGCGACGCCGCAACTTCGCACTCTGAGCGTTTGCGCCGCAAAAACAAGAAATATGTCCGCAGTAATAGCAAGGACGGCGGCGTGAGCGCCCCAACCCCTTTACCGAAATACCGCAGCTGGAAAAACAGCCGCCGACCACGTAATGGGCACGGCAGGGGCTTGCCAAAGAAAGGTAAGCCGATACTATCTATAAATACCTTCATTACCATTCATATTTTACCTCAATACGCTTACCAATCAGAGAACTCTCTAGAAATTAAACTTGAATTGGAAGCGTATTTCATAATTCTGTTTACTACGCAGCCGGCGGGTGGTATTACCTATGTTATGTTGTATTATAGGCCAGAGTTTGTATTTGGAACGTAATCCAAGGTCGCGCTTTTTGCGCAGTTGGGATTGTTCTTGTTTTTGGTATTTTGGGATATAAAATTGTTGGGGTAGGTCAATTTGTATGTAGGTACAGTTGAATGACTTATTACGCAACAGTCGAATGTAAACAACTTTCAACACAAATCAAGGCTGTTTATGGACGTACCCATGTTCTAATCCGAATGAAATGAGAACCGATTAAATGTTTAGTTTATACAAACACAGCATAATTTCACTATTAGCAAAAATTTTAAATTATCCACTTTTGTTTTTGCTAAAATGACCTTGAAATTTCAAGGTTATGTTTGTTTTGATGTTCGAACGTTTGGGGCCATGCGTTATTCGTTGATATTAAGTCAGATATTTAATTTACTCTATGTTTAATTCCATTTATATTTTTTGTACTCTTGATTGTAGTTTTTTTATTATGTTTTAACAATTTCTGTCTTGTTGTTGAGTGAAAAACTTCTTTTCACTAACAATAACTTTTTATGAAAGAAAATTTGAAACTCACTTATATTCTTTTTTCAAATGCTGAATATTGTGACTATTATAATCACAATACAGTATTAGCTGGCGCCAGCATTTCTCTACCGGGCTGTGTCGCCCGCCATGTGCCTCACCTCGTGCACTTGGTGGTGACAATCACTTCTCAAGAAGACTGATTTCGTACCATTTTAAACAGTAATTGAATACCTGTATTTATATTTAGGTAGCTTACTCGAATGTACTTGACGTTTGGTAACCAAAAATTTGAACCTAAATTTAAAATTATTTTTTTTATGGAAAATTTTTTCAAATGCTTGTCCACAATCTTGCATAAAGTTAGGCGACTTTGTGTCCGTCGCTATAACCCCACATCTATATTAAAATGTTCAAAGCCCACTAAACACTGTAGTGAAGCTAGCATTGAGTAAAAATGGCATCAAAAAGATATGCTGACTAGAGCCTTAACTGTGGCTTGAATAAGCACGGGTCAGATCTTGGGCAGAGAGATAACAGAGTGTAGAATCTGCCACAAGGCATATAAAACTCTTTGCACTTCCTGACCCAATGCTGCCCCTTGATGGGCGTGAGAAGTTCCATACTGGGAAGGCACAGGCTTACAACCAGAGGACATCAAAACTGTTGAACCCAGTGAAGTCCTTCAGTTCATTAACACTGTCGGCCTTGGCTCAGAATTATAATTACTGGTCATCATAATAGATCAGTTCATGGTCGCAGTGATGAGCGGCTATGTAGGACCTGAAATAAGCCTTGAACAAGCCAAGTGACCTTAAATAAGCTTTGTGAAAGAGTTCATCCGGAGAAGTCCTGCCACCTTACCTAATTCTGCCATCTGCAATCTGCTCATAACTGTATTCCGGTGTTGGAGGGTAAAGGTGCTGGTGAAATTATAAGGACATGGGACTTGTCAACTTATTTCTCTCCGTGATGAGGGCAGTGCCAGTGCCCCACAGGTCTTTGCAAATTAAAGCTCTGAACTGCACTGCAACTGTTATGGATAGGCGAGTCGCTTACCACCTGGCGCACAACTTGGTCGCCACGTCGCTTGATATTATAAAAAATACAAAGTCAAATACATATTTAAATATTAACCTTTATTCTTAAAAGAGAAAAGTTCATTTTACAATGTGAAGATCAGCCCTAGGCTTCGTCAATAAGTACTACTTATAACACAAAAACATGGATTTACAAAAGATTTTGTCAAATGTTCCTAACCTAAAAAAATCCCACCCTGCATTGTGCCTGGTTCGAAAGTTCCCATTATAATGCCGAACAAAATAATTTATTTCGAACAACATATGAAATATGTTATAAAATTGATAAATGAATAATTTTTAATAAACAACCAGAAGAGTAGCCACCAAATTGATAAAGTTAAAGCACAGATAAGCTATTTGTGGTTTTACTTTTTATCTTTGTAATATGTAATCTTTTTATCTTATCATTTTATCCGTTTGTTTTTCATATATTTTTAAATTGCTAGAGGGGTCAAATCCCTAGCATTACTCCAATTCAAATTGCTGTATGAAATAAATGAATTGTTTTGCCAATATTATAATAAAAAAAGCATAAACAATATCATTGGTATTTTAAAAATGTTGTTTTATTTATGTTGTCTAGATTATGTTTGGGGTTGTATCCATTATTTTTCATGTATATCATGCCTTATGGTCTACCTATTCTTTTAAATGTGTGCCATTTCTGATGTTCTTTTTCATGTATGACATGCCTCACATTCTATCAGTTTGTCATAACTGAAGTAGTGGCTGTTATTGAAGTGCTGTATTTGTCGCATTTTCGAATCTATAAGAAATAATAAACGCCAGCAGTTAAATAATAATAACGCCCGCACTAGGGAAACCCTATCTCGCGGGTGCCGTGGACACACATAGACAACCACAAATTACACCCAAACTCACGAGAGAAATTAATGTAGGCCATACCAATATTTCTCTCGACTCGGGAATCGAACCCGGGACCTCTGCGTGGCAGTGCAGCATGGTAACCGTTCCGCCACTGAGGCAACCTACCACCTCTCAAACAGGGGCCGTGGGTTCGAATCGAGTCTCGCCTCTGAGGTTTCGGAATTTATGTGTGAAATTTAATTACAAATTGGAGTGCGGGGTGAGACAGGGAGGACTTAGTTCGCTTAGGTTATTCATTCAATTTGTACACGGACGAGCTGATCGTCGGACTCAGCAGAACGGGTATTGGATGCTCAATCGTTGGCACCACAGCCAATAATATAAGTTACGCGGATGATATGGTGCAGCTGTGCCCTTCGATCAGTGCGCTCGTTAGGCGGTTAAAAATTTGTGAGGATTACACGGCACATGGCTTAAGGTACAATACTAATAAAAGTGAGTTGTTAGTCTTTAAGGCTGGTAACAAAGCCCTCATATCAACCCTAACTGTGCAACTTTGTGGAGCTCCTCTCAAACAAGTGACACGATTTAAGTACCTTGGTCACGGGGTCACCGAAATCCTCTAAAATTCGCTTCCATTCCGTTCCGCCACAATATAAATTAAACCAGTGCTATTCAGAGCTTTAAATAGCAGAGATACGAAGAGTATAGTCACAGCACCTGTCACCCTGAGACTTGAGTACTCAACTCACGAGTAGTGCCACTGCGCCCGTTACTCTAAGACAAGTCTCATTTTATTTAGTAGCAGTAGAGTTCCCTGTGATAGAGTTCGTCCAGGGAAGTACTGCCACCTTACAATTCCGCCGCCAATCACGTAAGGTGAAATTACAGGCACATGGGACTTGTTAACTTATGTCTCAGTACGACGGCCACTAAGGCGGTGTCCTTCAGATCTTTGTGAATTAAAGCACTGAGTGACACTGGAACTGTTATGGACAGGAGTGTCACTTACCACCAGGCGCACGACTTGTCCGTTCCATCACTTCGTATCATAAAAAAAGTGCCGCTGTGCGCTAGTGTCTCGTTCCGTTCCGTCCGTAGTGATCTTGTTCCGTTGCACCGGAGCTTGATGTGCTGTTCTTAATGTCTGTACTAGATTTTCCATTCTGGCTAAAAATAAATATATCGGCCAAAATCATAACAATAACATGTTCTCTTATCAATAGGACATGCGTTATCAAACTTTTAACCGAGGTGTAGGTGTACTACTTATAAAATTATTATCTTCTGTTTACATTGTATTATTATTTAGTGGCTTGCTATGTATGATATTTATAATAATACTGAAAACGTGCCTTTAAGAATAAATTTTAGTATACTCCGTCTAACCATTTATTTCACTTTTCACATATCGTCTATTTAAAAGTAAAACCACATAAGTGATATAGGAAATGAAACTATTTTTCCGGATTTAAATCGCGTATATTTGTTTTTTCAAACAAACCGACGTTTCGGGCCCTTTACAGGTCACGGTTGACCAGTCAACCGTGACCATGGGACCTGTAAAGGGCCCGAAACGTCGGTTTGTTTGAAAAAACAAATATACGCGATTTAAATCCGGAAAAATAGTTTCATTTCCTATGTGTAACAATCGCGAAAACCTAAGAACTCGACACATAAGTGATATTTTAAACAAAGTCTTTAATTTATATAGCTATGGTAAGAAAATCACTATCTTTCTGCACGTGAAACACAATAACAAAAAAAGCTGTAAACTTAATAAGAGTTTTATTGCTGCACTGCCACGCAGAGGTCCCGGGTTCGATTCCCGGGCCGGGAGAAATATTTTTATGGCCTACATTTATTTCTCTCGTGAGGTTGGGTGTGATTTGTGGTTGTCTTTGTGAGTGTCCATGGCATCCGCAATACAGGGTCTCCCTAGTACGTGGCTATTAGTGTGTAAGCGTTACGTTACTTATCTGCAGAGAGATGGCGATTTTCTTACAACAGGTACATAATTTAGAGATTTTTTGTGGAAAATGTCACTTATGTGGTTTTACCTTTAAGGAGACGATATGCATGCCTTCGAAGTTCCGTAATTATAGACAAAAAATGCAATATTGCCTGGACTCTTTTATTTTTTAATTTTAGTGAAGCGACGTGCTCTTTAGCTTCGATATTTATCGAACCAACAGATTACGTAACGAAGATTATTCAAGTTGGTAAATTTTGATACCTGTCGAATAAATTATAATGAAATAAAATAAATTATAAATAATTATAATAAATTCTTACTGTTTATTATAATGAATCGTCGGATTTTTCTCCATATGAACAGGAATCATCACTTCAATCCTTGTTAACATTAATTATTGATTCTTGAGTACGCAAACTGTCAAATGCAACATTACAATTTCAATCAGACAATATCTTCTTTTTGGAACCTTCTTCACACATAGTTAAATTAAAATATTTTCTAACTGAAAAATGATATTATTCTATAAATGATTTCCTTAACGACAAAGATATAAATTGATATTGCCAATGATACAAGTAGGTACATACCTTCTATTTTGTGGTCTAGCCTATGTATGCCTAATAAAGTTTTTATATTTACTTGACATTGAATAATTTTATGCTATATTTTTAAACTATATATAATCTAATGTACTTCGTTTATTTTGTTAGATTGTAATAATTATTTGCATGCAGATTGCATGCATCTCTTAATTGAACTAAATTAAATATAATCCCGGACACATAAATCGAAGCCACCTTGCATTTTTATCCTTAAAAGGCAGAATATAAAAATATTGATATCACGGAATAAAATAGTTTTTCCCTTTTTTATAATTCAAATTATCAACAAGGACTCACGAAATGACGTTTAATATACCAATTCCAAAATAGCTTAGTAGTTTTCGATCAATCAAACATTGTTTTAAGCTTAAGCCAATTAATACTGAAAATGCAAGGTTTCCCGACTTACGTGTCCGGGAGTGTGTAATATATTGCAATGCCCTAACAGAGTTTATGTTTTACTGTCACTGTGATATTTTTTAAGATCAATTGAAATAATTGTACATGTAAAGCAATAAATGAATAAATAAATAAAAAACGTTGAGTGAGCATTACTGCGTTCCGGTTTTGAAGGGTAAGAGTACTTGTCAAATTACAGGCACATGGAACTTGTCAACTTATGTCTCTTGGTGACAATATTTGTCACATCTTCACTCTTTCACAGATCTTTGTCATTTAAAGCTCTGAGTGGCACTGCAGCTGTTATAGACAAGCGCGTCGCACTATTGCCTCAACTTGTTCGTTCCGTCACTTCGTATCATGTAATAATTACAACTATTTGCCAAGTTTTATTGAAATCGGTTATCGGAAAGTGCGCGAAACCGGATTCATCCACTAGTTTGCTACCCTTAGATGTGGCATATTTTCTTCAAATTTAAATGAGACCAATACTGAGGTACCAAAAAAAGAATTATCAAAATCGGTTCACAAATGCCGGGGTAATCGCGCAACGCACACACAAAAAATACAGTTGAATTAAGAACCTCTTCCTTTTTGAAGTCGGTTAAAAAAGCCAGTAGTGATGGTGCCATTTTGTCACTCAACTTAGTATCTCACGGGCCATCACAATTTTAGAACGCATACAACGCATCTGCCTCCTTAACACTAATGATTGTGTGACTTAAGAGATCATTTATAAATAAAAACTTGATGAGGATCAATTATCGAATTGTTTTCTAATTAGTATTTTTTAGATATCTGGTTATTCCAGTAAATAAACTCAAAGCAGAGAGTCCCAAACTTTTCTGTCGCTTATGCCACGTGCTATTTTTTTTGTTTTGCTTTAGGAGTTCTGTTTGGTGTTATTCAATGTTATTATTGATACTCCGTAAAGTTTAGCTGGTTTAGAATGACACATGCCAAACGAATGATGCATAAACCAGTGATGGGATCAGTGTAATCGAGAATTGATGTTAAATTATGTATATTTTTTACGATATGGTGAAGATACCAGCAAGTCGTGCACCTGGTGGTAAGCGACACGCCTGTGCATAACAGTTCCAGTGCCGTTTAGAGTTTTAAATCGCAAAGATATTGAGTATACTGCTACTGCGCCCGTGACACTTAAGTTGAAAAATCCCATGTGCCTGTACTTTCACCAATGCCCGTTTATCCTTCAAACTGAACTGACTGAAAGGCTTCATGTAATGCTTCATGTTACTACTTGGCGGCAGAAAGAGGTAAGATAGCAGTACTTCCCTGGACGAGTACTTTCACAAGGAGCTCGACTGCTAACTACTACAGCGGGCTACTACGCCCTCCGCCAGTGATACGCCTTCACGGACGTCTCTGGTTGTCGACTCGGACTTGGGCATGGACTCGCTGAGATTTGTGGTCAGCTGCAGAGAAGGACATGTTTGTCTGACAGAGGTCTGTGATCCCTGTACACTAGCTGATCTGGGGTCAGAATCCGAACTTATTATGCGCGCACAGGTTATAGTGCCCTTCTCGTATACCTAAGGATCGGTAGGGTAGGTCACTATAATTAAAACTAACGTAGAAAGATATAGGGCTGCTAACTACTACTGCTTGAAGCATACGTATGTATGTTTTATCCTATTCAATGTCATTCGTTGTTCCCCGTAAAATTAGACTGACACATGTTAAAAGAATAATGAATGAGCTAGTGAAGGGTGGGCCACGGTCAGTGAAATCGAGAATCGATGTTAATACATCGGCTGACCCATGGACATATTTGTTATAATATCTCACATTACTGCTTGGCGGAATAAATTGGTATGGTGGTAGTACTTTGAAACGAAAGTGCAAGGAATGGCTTTTTTGCAACAGAAGTCTTCATGTTGCTGATCGGTTGTGGAATAGTAATCCGTAGTTGTCTGGTAACAGTCATTTGTACCCGTTGCCGTCCTGTTTAGATTTATTTGTTTCTGCTTTATGTGTTTGTGTGGTATGACTATATACTTTAAATATTATCACTCGTAACCAGTAAATAAAAAGAGATTAACGATGTTGATGTAGATCACCTTTTGTGGACAGAGAATACAGGCGGAGACTGGCGGTGACTGCACCCACTTCGCAAAATGACTCCCGGACGCAAAACATCCACTTCGCAAAATGTTCGTTTCGCAAAATGTCCCTTTCGGAAAAGGCCATTAACGTAGAAATAGAAATCAGAGTAGCTTATAGTTTATTAGTACATGTATCATGTGGTTTTCTGTATATTTGTGTGTGTTTGATGAATAAAGTCCTATTTAATTTACTTTTCTGGACGAACTATTTCATAAGCAGCTCTTTTGCTACTAAAAAGCCAAAGAATAATAATAATTTTTTGTCGGCAGGTGGCGCCGGCGGCAAAGGAGTGTGGGGAGCGCCCGGTTCGGAGCTCCTCGAGGAGTACGTCGAGGATGCAAACGACCCCAACTACGACTCTGAGGCAGTCAATGGAGACGTCGAGTTTAAACAAGTTATCGTCGAGCCGGAACCCGAGGAGATCATCGTGAGTACTATAACATACATCGAGTGTTTGTAGTATACAGGGTGACAAGTTGAACGAGATAAATATTTAAAAAGGCGAATGAGTTGCTGATACTCATACCGAATATGTAAAAAAAACCCTACCTTAGGAAATGAAACTATTTTTCCGGATTTAAATCGCGTATATTTGTTTTTTCAAACACACCGACGTTTCGGGCCTTTTATAGGTCCCATGGTCACGGTTGATTTCAACCGAGTGAGAGTCAGCCGTGACAAAAAAACAAATATACGCGATTTAAATCCGAAAAAATAATTTCATTTCCTATGTGTAACAATCGCGATAACCTAAGAACTCGATAAACACTACCTTATTTTTAAATATTTTTCTCTAAGGAAAATACTGCCTCTAACATTATTTATCTGGTATCTCGCGCAGAGTATTACAAAGTGTTTTTTTTACACATTCGGTATGGGTATCAGCTACTCATTCGCCTCTTTTAATATTTATCTCGTGCAACCTGTCACCCTGCACAATAATTATAACTTTTTTTTGTAATAAAATCGACCACAAAATCAAAATCAGCTTTCGCTGTGTTCGTTCCCGCGGATATCTGCTGTACCACTGTCGAGGAGTTCCCCTCATCTATCTGCCATTTCCATCATCAGATAATTTCTAGGTCACCATAACATTTTATTTTCTTTAAAATTAAATGTCAAGTTTTATTGAAATCATTTAACGGAAAGTGTGTGAAATTCAATAAACCGGATTCATCCCCTATCTTGCCCTTAAAGTCGGAATATTTTCTTCAAATTTGAATGGGTTCAATACTGACGAACCCTTTTTCCATCAAAAAAATAATCATCGAAATCGGGTAACATACACACACAAAAATAATAACCAATTTGAGAACCTCCTCCTTTTTTGAAATCGATTAAAAACAGAAGACATTTAATACAACAACATCACGACATAAAAACGCAAAAAGAGTAAATAAAAAAAAAGAAACAAAAACCAAAGGAAGAAAAAAACCAAACATGTCAAAGTCTAAACAATCAACAAAATTTGAAATTTATATGATTTATGTCCACTTGCATTATATTTAAGCAACCAATGCTTGCAATGCAATAGGCATTCTTAATGCATTGTGTTAAGAGTGTTATCAATTTAGTAGCAAACAGTAGAGCTCCATATGAAAGAGTTCGTCCAGGGAAGTACACTGTTTTGTGTTGTAGGTTTATTTTAAATTTAAAGTTTTATTGAAAATTGTTAAACGCCAACAATGTTCTTTTCGGTAGCGGTATTGGTAGCGAATATGTAATCCTAGTACGAAATTCAAAACATAATACATAACTTCAACACTATACACGCAACGTCTACATATGTTATTTACGTAAGCCGTGTTTATTCAAATGAGAAATTGCTTTATTTCCCTTGTACATATAAAAATACAGATGGTACAACACCTTCTTACACTAGCTGTCGATTTTACTTTAAAATATAACTCTTGATGATAAAGGCCTTGTGACATAAATTCGCGGAATACTGTACAAAAGAACAAAGATTTTTTCCATAAATTTTGTGTAGCAGTGTAACCTATCACAAAGTCGAAATTTTTTTTGTCCGAAATAATGTTTGTTCGAATTTTCATTACACCGACAACCGAATTATAACAAAACAGTTGTTCTTTCAGGATATGTTGAATGTTTATCGCAAAGACACGATTAGGTTCGGTTAGATTAGGTTAAGTTAGGTTTAAAAAAATAGATATAGATATAGAATAGATAGAAAAAGATAGGTATCCATTTATTGGATTATTCACGCTCTCAACTCATTGAGTTCAAAAGGATACTTACTTATTTCTGCCGCCGAGCAGTAATGTGAGCAGTACTGCGTTCCGGTTTTGAAAGATAAGGGTGCTGGTGAAACTACAGGCACATGGGACTTGTCAACTCATGTCACAGGGTGACGGGTGCCGTGATAGTGCCGCTCAGATCTTTGTGATTTATAGCTCTGAGTGGAAATGCGTTAGCAATGGACAGACGTGGCTCTTACTATAAGGCGCTCGACATGTTTGTCCCGTCGTTTCATATTATCATAAAAAAATCCATTGAAAGTCAAATAATTTATTCCATAGATAAGAAAAATGTACACTCGAAAACGTCATTTTTTTAGGTATACTGCTCGCTCCGCCCTGTCCTCGTAGAGTGGGTAAACCGGTCCCACGGGCCACTGTCGTACCACCTTGTGCAGGTGCTGACCGGGCACGGCTGCTTCGGTCACTACCTGCACAAGGTGGCGAGGAGTGAACCGTCCCCGTCGTGCCACGAGTGCGACGCTGCGGATGACACCGCGCAGCACACCCTAGAGGTGTGTAGCCGGTGGGATGAGCAGCGCCGCACTCTGACGGGGACTGTAGGGCAGGACCCCTCGCTGCCGAGCGTGGTTGCCGCTATGCTCGATAGCGAGGAGTCCTGGGATTCGGTGGCCTCCTTTTGCGCAGAGGTTATGTCGCAAAAGGAGGCCGCGGAGCGGGTGCGCGAGGACGCGGCGGACGCGCACCCGCTCCGGCGCAGACGTACGGGGAGAAGGCGAAGGCTGTTCGCTGCTTGCCTGATCCCCTAGTGAGACCAGCGGGCTCTGGACAGGGACTCTGGAGCCTGCATTCCATGGCCTCACTCGTCTGGGGGGCGGGTCGGAGGACAACCGACTCGCCCCTCCGTTGGCGCGGGAGCCCTGGCGTAAGCTAGGGCGGCCGGGCGGCGACGTGGTGAATGCTCACTGATCCCATGGCGCCGACTCAACCGGCGAGGTTGAGCGGGCGGGAAACCCGGGGGGGTTTTAGTGGGGCAGGCCCTCCAGTTTGGAGGGAGAGTCCCCACATAACCCCTGAGTCTCCCTGGGCTCAGAGGTATCCATAAAGATTTCCCCCCGTAAAAAAAATAAATAAAAGGTATACTGCTCGTTCACTATGCTCACTTCCCTGAGAGGAACGAGCAAGAAACTCAAGGGATTGCTCTTTTCAAATAAATATGAATGCTATGGAATACCCTTTGAATTTGTGTGGAATGTAGAGTCATGTCGTCTTTCCTACATCTTCATTTAACACGTAGTCTTAAATTTTGTAATATGACTTTTCAATTAAATGAAATGATAATTATAATTATAATATGCTCCGGAATATTATTGTAAAAATGTATACAGTACCCAAAAAAGAATCGTTTACCTTAGTTAAACGAAATCGTGGTACCATGAGTATGGACTTAGTTCTAAGGTTAATATTATAGATGCCTTCTTTCTTAATGAAATTATGTATACTTTACGGACTCACAAAATATTTGATGCCACATTGCATAATAATTATAAACAAATTATTTACAAATTTGCATCGAGTATTTAACCAGAAATAGAGACGAAATGTCATGTAATTTGTTTGAAAACTATTCTGCCATATCATTACTGTGAAAACTGCGCTCCGATTGGCCAGCCCGAAACAATTGATGGGTGTCGACAATTATTTCACTTCAAATCGACCAGTTAACTTGAGCTTTGCTATAATGGACGAAAATTGCAAAATTGCATGTTTAATATTTAATTACCGATGAAATTTGACTCCGTTTGTTTTGTAATTAGATGTTTTGCTGTTTTTCTCCACATCACTGAATGGAACAGCACGCCATTGCTAGATATATTATTTTTATTACAATAAATACAGAATATTTTTGGAATATACGGAGACGTACACACAGGTCAGTTCTTGGCGCTGCCTTTATTTCAGTGCAAACGAGATTTGATATTTTCAAGTGATGTATCACTGATGAGGTACCAGGAATGTATGGCCCTTATTTCGTCTCTATTTCTGGTTATATACTCGATGCAAATTTGTAAGAAATAACGACATTGAGCGACGAAAAGTTTCAGAAAAGAATTGTGGTTTTCCGCACCACACCTCAAACTCGTATGTTATTGTAAACAAAGTCTAATCTGCAAGGTCGCGCCGTCACCCGCCATCGCCGATCGACCGGCAATAATGCGATTTCGATTAACGGGCTGCCAAGAAAGTAAATAATGCTAAAAGAGAGAGATAGCAATAAATATCTCAAGAATATAAGTCTGTGAAATGAAAATACCTAGTTTATGCCAGCGTGGTACAGTCAACAACACATGAAGCTCGAATATCGCCTCCAGTGCAACGGAACGAGATCCGACAATGTGTAACTTGATGTGCTGTCTGTACAATAAGTTTTTTTATAAAAAAGCGACCTCAAAAGTTCGTGGAATTACTATCTATTTGCAAAGTTTTATTGAGATCGGTTACCGGAATGTGCGCGAAACCGTACCACCACCACCCAAACCAAACCATATGTATTACTTTCTGAAGTTAGGTACAGATACTTTGGTCTCTGATTGTAATCTACATTTAGAGTCAAAATGATTTTTAATTTGACCGCTATTGAAAACTTAATTTAAAATTAAACGTAACGAACAAATAGTGTTTTTTTAATTATAGTAGCCGTAGAGCTTGTGAAAGAGTTCGTCCAGGGTATTACTGCCATTTTACCAATATCTGCCGCCAAGCAATAATGTCAGCATTACTGTGTCTGCGGTTTTAAAGGGTGAAGGGTGCTGGTGAAATTATAGGCACATGGGACTTGTCAACTTATGTCTTAGGGTATCGGGCGCAGTGGCAGTTCGCTTGTTCCCAGTCGTCACTACAGGCTTTGTTCCCACTGGCGACAAATGGGATAAAATCCCATATGTTACCAGGTGGTGACAAATGGGATGAAAACATCTGTTGTTGCCATTGTGTGCAACAACAGATCTTTTTAGCCAGTGGTGACGACCGGGGTTACCATCAGTCACTTGATATTATATAAAAAAAAGTAATACTACAATTACTAATGAGCACCTTTCTATTACTTATAGTTCGTCCTTTTAACGGCATACTATATTGAAATTTCCAAAAAAGGAACAGTGTTCCATAATAAATTCTCATAATATTTGTCTTTTCTGGATTTCAAAGG